AACAATGCCCTTCAGCTACTTCTTTCATTATCATGGCTTGCAAGAATAAATTCTTCCTACAATGTTATTTTTGTTTTAAGCAGTTCCCATCAGCCCCATAGCTAGCCCCAAAGCCCTAAATCTGCATTTCCTTGGAACAGCCATATTGCACTGGGTTGCAATACGCGCTTGCAATATGCAAGTACTGCACTTACACTGGGTTTGTAATCAACTCCTGTTGCAAGATCTTATACTGTAAATCTGAGCATTTCAACATGGTTATTCTCTTTTTAAGTATGAGGATAAATTTGTTTAATGCAAGGAGTAGTAAGACAGATCATTTTATTTAGACTTAATTGTTGATCAAAATCCAGTTAAATATTTCTCCAGGAGCTGAATGCAGCTTCCCTGAGGATTTATTTTATTCCAAAACAATAATGCTGTGAGGTAAATTGGTCTGAGAAAAAGTCAGCTATTGAGTTTCATTGCTGTAGATGGTATTTGGCCTGGATCTCCCTGCTCCTGGCCCAATGCCTTAAGCAATACATCGTACTGGCTCTCGTAATATTTCAAACACTCTGAGAGGATGTTCTGAGATTTGAACTCACCATTTTATTCTTTTTCAAGATTGTTCTTGATTTTTGTCCATGATTCATTTTTCTTTTTAACTCTGCTTTTTTATTTGGAGGGAGGGATGTTTGTTTTGTTCTGTAATAAAAAAAAGTATTTTAAATGTATTAATTAGTTGAACTTAGCTAATAATTTCACTAGCTGATGCTTTATTTATTTATTGTTTACTTCATTCCCTCCTTCTTTTTGTACAAATATTGTTTCACAATAAAGAGATACTTTTCATCAGGGTTCCTCAGCCTCAGCAACTTTAAGATGGGTGGACTTCAACTCCCAGAATTCCCCAGCCAGCAACTCTGGGAGTTGAAGTCCACTCATCTTAAAGTTGCTGAGGTTGAGGAACCCTGCTTTACATGAAATAGACCCACAACCTCATGCCTTGATGGTTTCCTGCCTATATTTTTAAAAAACAAATTAGGTGGTGGATTATGTTGTTGCTAAGCCTGGGACCATAGCTCTGGATCTATTTTTCCTGAGCTCTAAATTTCCACTGATGTCAATAAAAGTGTCCCTCCTTCCCCATATCCCCCAATTAGTTTCTATGCAGATTGAGTTCATGGGAGTTGAAGATGGAGAAAGAAGAAGTGACCTTCTCCTTTCACTTGGTGCAATCTCTCCTGTGAAAATCATATCTACTCTCCTTGCCCGGAAGTAAATAATTCCTGCAATTAATGTCAAAAGATGATCCCCTGCTACCCAGGAAAAAGTAATTGCCGTACAAATTAGGTGTCCTAATTGATGGTAAGGCAGAACTGGAAAGAGAAAAGTTGGCTGTATGGCAAATCTCTCCTCCTCCTCTCTTCTTAATTCAGAGATGGAGATTGCTATCCTCTTCCACAGGACCCAGTTACTGCTCTCCCCTTCCTGTCCCAAATCCCCTTTCCCAGAGGTGCCTTTCCTTTCTTCTTTCCTTCCTTGCCCTCTTTTCTCTGACTTTTGCTTCTTTTTCTTTAACTTAGTCAGTTCCCTCAGTCTCTCCTAGCACTTAGTTGCCAGTCTCCTGAATCACTTAAGAACATAAGAACAGCCCTGTTGAATCAGGTCGACGGCCATCTTAGTTCAGCATTTTGTTTCTCATAAGGGCTAACCAATGCTTCTGAACAGTACATAGAGCAGTGTTGTCCAAACTTGGCTACTTTAAGATGAGTGGACTTCAACTCCCAGAATTCCCCCGCCACCCAGGCGCGGGGGGGGGTTTTTGGGGGTTTAGATCCCCCAACCTTAAATTGCCAAAGATTGGGAAAACCACCCCATTTTTTTTTTAGGAAGC